GCGAGCCCAGTCGTGGCTGCCATGTTTTAACGTCCTGAAGCACCTGTGAAACTTCTGGACGTATTTTTTGGCTCTCAGAAGTTTGTAAAATTTCAGAAATGGAGTTTTCTTTTTTTTTTTTTTTTTTTTTGGAGTGGAGGTGAGCAGCTAATAAAAGATGAACTCCTTATTTGTGTAGTGTATAGTTCAGTGTATCTTTGAAAGCCTATCAATATCCAGCTTATGTCCTCCAGATCCTTACTTAACCCCAGGTGAGGCTGGGGTGAGGGAGGGGAGGAAGTACCCCCGGTGGAGTGTGGTCAGGCTGCAATCCCCTCACCTCCATTCCTTCAGTCTGTTGGGATTTGGGGCACGCCCATGTACCTGGTGTGTTTTTCAAGTCATTGGAGCTGGGATTTGAACCACTGTTGATCATTTGGGATCTGGCTATGCTATGGGGCTGGCCCAAGATCCAACCTCTTTAAAATTTTAATTTTTATTAAAGTGTAATTGGCAACAGTTTTCTGTAGTTAAAGTATCCAGCCTGTTGGTTTCTGGGTGGGAACATTTTCTATCTACTTTCTTCACAATTTTTTTTTTCTGTAGGGCATGTACACTTGCTGGAGCCAAGGTGTGCACACGTGTTACTGTGGAGCCCACTACAGGCCCATGTGGCAGAGAGCCCAGCTGGGGGTTGGGGTTAAAGGAAGAGGCTGGGTCCCATGGTGGGCGCATGTGGCAGTAGGGGCCAGAAGTGCGCACAGACATGATTATAGGGGCCGGCTGCAGGACAGTGACAGCAGTGAGGCTGTCTATGAGCATGGGGGGGTCTGCAAGCTGAGCTAGAGCCGTGTGTGCACATGCAGCTGCAGGGGACAGCTCTGGGGGCAGGCACTGAGGAGTAGGACCAGCTGACTATGCTCATGAGGCTCTAGGAGCCACGCTGGAGCGTGCAATAGCTGCCCGCAGGGGTCAGCTTTGGGTGCATGTAGGGATGAGGTCAGATCTTGAAGGGGGCAGAGCTCCAGGACTGTCTGCACACAGTAGCTGCTCTGGGTCCTGGGTCGGAGACAGCAGCTGGGGTGGCCTGGGACCATGAGTGGTGCTGAAGCCACCTGAAGATGCGAGCGCCACTGGGGGAGGAACACTCATGAGTTCTGGGGCTCCAGGGTGTAGGGGAGGGGGATGGACTCAGGTGACTCAGGAAGACTGCGAAGGTGAAAAGATGCAGAATCCTCAACAGGGAAAGTCTCAGGGGTTTGCGGCTGCTGTGTGAGCACTGGGCTCATTCAGTAGTGAGAGTCGAGGGACCTCTGAAGAACAAGCCCCTGGGGATTGGGGCACACACTGAGGGACCCTTGGCAGTGAAAGCTGCAAGGGGGGAGGGGTCTCAGGGTGCCCTGAGAGCTCTTAGGTCCTCAGTGCAGAAGCCTGCTGGAATCCTGGGCCGGGCAGACAGCTGGGGATTGTGGTGTCTTCATCCACTTGCTAAAGCCCACTCAGATACTTTAGATATGCTTCCAAAGCCATTTTCTATATGCTTGATATATTCCTGCAGGCTTATGCAAACATGTGTGTATATACATATATACATACGTAAGCACTCTGACATTGTCGTGTTATGTTTGATGAAAAAAACAAAAAATGATATGTCACTATAGTTCTGTCTTTGTAAAACTAACACTGAATTTGTTTTGCTCACATTACTCAGCTATGGTAAAATCTTGCAAAGTATGCACACATGTACATGTGTACGCATATGAATACATATAAACATGGGTGTGTCATTTTATACAAGTATCAGCTTGTGACACACACTGTTCTTGTCTTGCAGTGTC